TTTAACTTGGAAGTGATCGTTACTCTCCTCAGCCCATGACAAAGCATCTTTCTATGCAAGAGGCACCTACTGCGAGGATAGCATTATTCTTTATGTTCTGGCCAAAGCAAGAGAGAATTTGACCCACTCTTTTACTACCTTCTCCAAATACAAATCCAGACATGAATGTGATTCATTGTTTTATCTATTGATGATATGTCAATATGATCAAACCCTGTCTTGCAATGGATCATGTATGAAGTCATAATCATGGCTCTGAATGCTATCACTTGGCTCAGCCATGAGGGAGACAATAAGTTTTCATGCCATGAGGGAGACAATAAGTTTCATCAGACCGTTGAAGAGGGACAAGGTGACTGATGTCCAGACTACTACATTCTGATGCCTTCAAAAATAAAAGGTCTGTGTCACACAGTCAGTCCATAATCAAAACAATAATGGGATCTGCCCTGATATCAGTGTTCTTGCCCTAAGCCCCTCCCACTTTCCACCTCCTCTAGCCGAGCTCTGGAGATTAAAGGGCAATAAGCTCAATTCTGAGCACCCTGCCTTTGATCTCACTCACCTTGGCTGAGTGGTCTCTTACCCACCTGTCAGTCTTCCAAAAAGGCACACTTAACCTCATTCTAGAATCTTCTTTGAATAGTCCTTTCACTTGCCACTTTAAGTGTCTGTTTGGTAGACAAAACTGCAAACCCAGAAGGGCGATCAGGAATTAAGGGCAACAGTGGTTTGGGATTATTTCAGCTAATTGCTGTCCTATGTGAAAGATTGCATCATCTGTGACAGCTGGCTTGAGTAATCATCACTTTTAGAAGCAAGTTTTCCTCTTTGGCAGAGTAGGGACTTTCAAGGCTAGTATATCCTATAGAACAGTAAGTCTGAAAAGGGATTGCTGACACTTTGTTGGCTTTTATGAAAATTAAATGGGATGAAGCTGTCAAGTTTTTAGTTTACAGTAAACATTTGATTTAACTTAAGTGTTTTTTTTTTTTTTCCTAGAACCTGTGTATCCCTGATCCTCACACACAGCATCCTACACTCTACTCCATTATTCTCCATGGTGGAAGGCACATCATTGGTGATGTCTTCCTTTCTTTTATCCTGAATTTGGAGGTGGAGAGGCGGTGATGTGATTTGTATTTGGTTACCCAGATTGCTCTGCCAACCATTAGTTCTTTGCTGGCCGAGACACTGAGCTCTGGAACATGCAAGGTCTAAGTGGGCTTTCTGTGTATGCTGAGTTATAGTCTCATTTATACGAGAGTGACAATGATTGCTACCTTGACTAAGTCAAGGTAGGAGGAGTCACTGAGCAGCTGGCAGAATAGGGAATCAGATGTCCATGTATATCTCTCTTAGAGTTCTTTGGAAATATGTGATTAGAGCAGATTTGGTTTTTTTTTTTTCCTGCCTTCAAACTGCCAAGTAGGAACCCAGAAAAGGAGGAAGTTACTTCACATTCTTGCTTTCTTCTGCAGGCAAAAAAATCCACCAGCCTGTTCCCAAGGGCTCATTTTCCATCTCGGCTTGGCTCATCGGAGTGTATTGTGAGCCAGTACAAAGACCTTGAGGGAGGAATGCTGTCCAGAGCTCACCTTTTATATCCCTGCTTTCCTTTATGTGAAATTGTGCCACCTTCCTGCTCACCCCAGCCTGAGCTCTCCTTCTGCTCTCATGACGGGTGTGTTTATAGTGGATGCAGCATGCTGGGCCACACAGGGAAGCTGCGGGGGGTGTCCAAGTTCACATGTCCTGCATTCCAGGCGAATGTTTTTGACATTGAGCAATGGAATGACTCTGCCAGGTTTAGGTCTGTCCGATTGGAATGCAACTGAAAAGGAAAGTCCCGGAGTGATTCAAATACTCTCCTCCCCACAACCTCTGCTTGTTTTTTTATTCCTTTTTAATTTTCCAGTGACCAGCTCAGCCCAGCACTCCTACCGACCCTCAGCACTTGTTGGTGCTGATAAGTGCAACTTCCCAACAGATAGGAATGCAAATCAGAATATTTTGTTGAGTCATATGTACTCTGAGGCTGTTTCCCAAATATTGCCTCAGACCCATAATTGGCAGCTCCCAGGACTCTGCTGGATGACACTGAATGTCCAGGAAAAGCTCAGTTCATTTCTCGAAAAAATGTACTCTCACTCTCTCCATCTGCCTGGTTGTAATATCCTGTTCTTGAGAAAGCTGAACCCCTGGAGGGAGCAGAGGCACAACCAGTTTTGCAGATAAGTTTGAAAAATATGACTATTGGCCTTTCCCACCCACTCTGGTCTCTTAGCAACAGGACAGCTGATGGTATCCACCAGGGGAAAAAAAGCACCGAACATGTGGGGGAGCCTGTCTGAATTCTTGCCTGCAGTCTGATTTATTTAAACCTTCCTGCATTCTTGGGAATGAAGATCCAGAAGTCACGTCATGCGAGCGTTCCCCTGCCCCCCTTGTGACCTTTACGAATGAGCAGATAGGAGAAAATCTCAGAATGAGGTGGACATTCTTCCTCTGCCAGAATCTGCCTTATCTGAGACATTTCCTTCGATTCGGGGAGTAACCATTTGAAAATTTGGGCACATTTATCGACAAAGGCGGGTGGGGGTGGGGTGCTGGAAAGAGCCCAGGGCTGGGGTGTCTGATGCCCCTGGTTCTAAGGGTGACTGTCTCTCCTTCCCCGTTGGACCCCGGCCATGAAAGCCCTGGTGCACTCACCTCCACCCTGTGTTGACTTTCTCATCTGCAAAGTAAGGAGACTGAATGGAATGTTCTCTAAGGTACCTTTCAGCTCTGAGTGTGTGTGTGTGCGCACGCACGCACATTTGAAGAAAATTTATTTTATATCATGTATCCATCTAATTCTCTCTCTTGAACTTGGGAGTTATTCAGTCAAGAACAAGAATTTTGAGGCCAGGCCTGTGTTCTTAACCACTACCCTGTATTATTGGGATATGTACACAGAGGTGCCACGCAGTTGGTATTCTATGTTCTTTCTGGCATCTTTATACCTACATCTATTAATCTATGGGAAGATGCACAGTAGTAAGGCTTTAATACTCAGGGAGATCTGAGTCCATATTCTTACTCTTCCTCTTACCAGTTATGTGGCTTCAGCATTTTCAACTGTGAAATGGGAATAACAAATCCTATGTGATAAGGTTGCTCTGGGAATTAGGCAAAATGACGTGTCTAAAACACCTGACACAGTCTAAAACCCCTGCTACATAGTATGTGCTCAATAAAAAGGAGCAGGTTGAGCTATTGATTGATTATAGATTCTCTAATGGGAGGGACTTGCCTGAATTATCGTTGAACCCCAACACATTTCATGACACCCAGAAGACAGTTGTGTTTGCTGAGTCAAACAGATGTGAGACTCACACACTCACACACACACACACACACACACACCCCAAATGGTGAATTTAATGATTCATGTTGTCCTACTAAGAAGTAGGACTCTGCATTTAAGAGCACTAAATCACAGCTAAGATAACCAATGAGATTTGGCTGTGGTTGACTGTTTCTTACACAACTTGAATGCTCTTCAATTACTTTCAAAATATGAACAGTTGTTTTTCAAAGCATTTTTTCCTTTTTTTGGAGAGATAATTGGGAAGATGTTCCTCTCTCCATCTCTGACTCGGGTTCTTTCTGTGCCTCTTTCCTTTTTGTTGAGGACTTAATACAGAATAGGCTCTGGGGCAGGTGTCTTACATTCATTATTTAAGCTATCCTCAGAGCAACTCTCTCGGAGAGGTTTTGTTATTCCCATTTCACAGTGGAGGATCTTGAGGTTCAGAAAGTGTGAGTCATCCAAGACCATTGTTAGGACCCCAGCTATTAATTGAGAGAACAAGAATTTGAACTCAGATCCTTCTGGCTATTAGAAAGGGAGAAGGACTGGAGGAGAGACCAATTCATTGTTTGTCTTAATCGATTACTGAACCCGCTTCTTTGGGGGAAAAAAAGCCACCTACTCCATCTACTCCCTTATTAATATTAGGGAACTCTGGGAACTTACTGTGTTCCTGGCTCTGCTAAGTCCATTAGACATTATCTTGTTTAGTACCACTGACAACCCTACAGGGTGGATACTAATTATTAGACCTGTATGTCAGAAGAAGTCATTATTGAGGTGTAGATAGAATAAGTAATAAGCCCAAGTGACCCAGGCTACAACTGGCACAACTGGGAAATTAACCCTAGCTAGTCTGGCTCCAGAGTAAACTCTTCTCATGAGCTTATCTACTAATTTTATTAGTGTCCATGAGGGCACATGGTCTCCATTACTCCTGGGAGCATTATTATGGCTTATCTGTAACTTCACTTCTGCTCTTTTTGGTGGTGTCCATCACCAGTTTCTCCTTGTGCCTGAGAGCAAACAGTGAGCACTGAGGGTACAGAAGCTATTGAACAATAGGCCAATACAGTTTCAACACTGAAAGACTTCTTCAGTCTTCAGGGGTCATCTCGTCCAGTGGGTTCTAACTATGGGGCATGCCCTGTTTAGTGGGTTGTAAAAACTTCCTAGCTCGTGATCAATATTCCAAAAGTGAAACGAGTAGAATAGCAAACATAGAGTATATTGCACTCAGGGAGAAAGTTGTTTCAGTTACCTATGTGTGTGTGTGTTCTGGGTCACTATGTAAAATGCATTTCTTATTGAGGGCCATGTTTGTCCAAGTTTGAAAAGCATTGGTTTCATTCAGTGATTTTCAAATTTTGCTCCATGGCATCCAGCGAGGCCTCAGATATCTTAGGGGAGATTGGGATGGGAGAAGTTGGGTAGGAAGAGCTCCAAGAATGTCCCCTCTTCTGGCCAAAGTAGTCCCATGTTTATCTGGTTCTCATGTTAGATTTTTATATGATATTTCATCGTTTAAAAAAAGAGAATCTACCAAAAAAAAAAAAGAGTTGAAGAGCTACTGATTTACCTCATTGGGTTTGTGTTGCATTGAGTATTGATTCACTCTTGTGTGACTTCATATGTTAAGCAGGCGGCAACTGTGTGCCCAGTACCATGATGCTGCCATAGAGTATCCTGCAGTGTTGGCCAATGTGATCATCGCTGTCCTTAAACCGTTGTTATAACCAACCTGATAACAACCTGCTGCTTACACCAGATACGGTAAGGAAATACATGAAGATGTTCAGAATTTGGTAACTTCTTTTACAAGATATACAAAGAATTGTTACAAGAAGGGATATGGAAGGATCAAAGGTGGCTGAAGCAATGGAGTTGAAATGGAATATGAGGGATCATACTTTGGTTCAGATCAACAGCATATGCAGTGTGCATTTGCTTGATAACGTTTCATGACTCGGTGTCTGAGGTTGTTAAATGACTTCTAACTCTGCGAGTCAACAGTGTGGCAGAGGCCAAGACCCAAGGTAAGCCTGACTCCATGCAATGCATTCATGGACAGAGGATATAGGTACCTCTGTCAGGGAGATTGCAAACATGGCCAAAGCATTTTGCAGCTTTTTCCGTGGGAGGCTAGGGTCTATTTCCCTACTTCTTGGTTTTGAATTGACCCAGTGATTGGTTTGGGCCAACAGAATGTAGTAGAAGTGATGTTGTGCCATTTTGAACCTACTCCTCAAGCATGCAGTCTCCATTCTTGAACTCTTGATACAGACATGAAAATAGGTCCTGATTAGCCTCCTGGAGGAATGTAGACAATGGAGAGAGACCCCAGGTATCACAGCCAAGGCCGTCCTAGACCAACCAACCTCTAGCTGATCTGCAGCTGATAGCAGACACTTGAGCAAGCACAGAAGAGCACAACCATGCCCAGCCCAGCCCAGAATAACTGTCTAGCTGACCCAAAGAATTAGGAGCTAACTTTTGGAGTGTTTTATTAGGCATCAAATCCTAACAGATGCACACACTATCCTGCACTGGCAAATCCACAGTGGAAGACAGTACCATGATCGCATTTGCCAAAAATATTAGCTAGAAATGTTAACAAACTAGAATGTGTTTAGGGCACAGTGAGGATAAGGGTTCTAAGAACCTGCTGGATAAGAAGTTAAGGAAGCTTAATCTGGAAAGTAAGGATATTTATAGAAACACGAGCTCTACATTTTGAGATTTGACATTAGTGGGAGAAGTGGGATGAATTCTTTATAACTTCTGTGGTCAATTGAAAAATTGGCTGTAACTTATCCCATTGCATCTATTCTTGCCACGTCCTTATGGTGAGCAGAGTATACTCCTCTCTTGAGTACTCTCTTTGACCTTAGGCTTGGACATGTGACTTGATTTGGCCAATGAAACACAGGCAGAAGTTACTGTCTGTGGCAGACTCACTCTCCTATACTTCTGCCATCACCATAATAACAGCATGTCCCAATTGGCCCACTGGTCCCAGAGGAGAATGAGAGACTTGTGGAGCAGAACCCACCCACCAGCAAGCAACAGAGCTTTTCCAGCCAGCCCATATTTCATGAGTGAGAAATTAATGCTTATTGTTATACATTCCTGGGGTTTTAATATTGATTCATACCCAGTAATCCTTGACTGAAATACTTCTGAAATTAAAATTAAGATAGAAGAATAGCTGCATCAAGGAAGCAGACTTGTTTAAGGGGGAGTCTCTTTGGTAAGGAAAAGAACTGTCCTAAAGTAGAACACATGGAGAAGTTAAGAGATCCCTATCCATGGAATAGTCAATTATCAGGAAGCTGTAGATGGTGTTCTTAGAATGAGGATCAGACTTTCATTTCAGAGCGACTGAGACACTCAGCAATTTGGGGAGTGGTTAGCAGATCATTTCAGTTGTGTTTTGGCACAAGGGGAGGATGAGCATGGAGGAGTAAGCATGCGTGTGCAGGGAAGGTGTTGGTTAAGAGGGACAAACACTGTGGGAGCTTTGAATGCCCACTGAAGTGTTGACCTTTGGTTCAAACCTGTGCGCTCTTGTTCTTCAACCTGGAACCTCCCCCTCTTTCCTCTACATTCCACTCATTTCTGAAATGCCAGGTTAAGGCTGGTTTTCTCTATGGGAAGTTTACCTGACCTTTCCAGCCTCCAGGGACCCACCCATCTCTGGATTCTTTATCTTGGCTGTCTCATCATTCTCCTTGACTTTTTCCAGGCTGAGACCAATGTTTTCCATGTGCTCACATAGTGCTTCCTTAAATGAAGGAACTTATTGCTCTGTAATGTGGTCTTGTCTCTCTCTTTAAAGCTGAAAGCTGGTTGAAGGTAAGGAGCATGGCTCATTCACCCTGGTACCCCCTCTATCTACCACAGTGCCTGGTACAGCTGGAGCCTCAGTAAATATTTCTTGAATGAATGGATGTGGATTTCTTTCATCCTTTTGGTGCAACTGTAAACTCCTAAAAGGCAGCTGGTGCTTACATTCCCATAGTGCTTCAAGGCCTGTGCATTTATTCAATGAACAAATATTTGATGAATGAGTCCAACCCCGGCTTACAAAACCTTATGTCACCTGGCTTCTGCCATCTCTATGACATCATCTCTTGTAACTTCCCCTCACTGACCTGCTCAAACCATACTGGCTTTTCTCATTTCTGTGAACCTGTAAAACTCATTCCCACCTCAAGGCTTTTGCGGTCCCTCTGGCTGAAATCACTTTCCCTTGATCTTCTACAGCTTCCTCCTTCTTGTCATTCAGATCTCAGGTCACCTCCTTTGAGAATACTGAGGGGCCAATTCACGGGCACTGCCTCTCTCCATCATATCTTCTGATCTCAGTTCTCTGCATGACATTCATGACTTTTTGATAATTATCTTCTTTTCTCTCTCCCTTTCTTTCTTTCTTCCATTCTTCTTGTATCAGCATGCTTATTTATTGATGGATTGTCTCTCTCAACTAACATGTAAGCTTCATGACAACAGGTATCTTTTTGGTTTTACTCACAGTTGTATCCCTCATATTTGATAAATAGGTATGAGTGAATGCATGCATGCATGAATGAATGAATGAATGCATGAATGAATATGGGTCCCACACTCAGCTCTGCACTGTGAATACAGTGGGGAGAAAACAGACAAGGATCTTGCCTTCAAGTGTTTTATAATTTTTGCAGAATGAATGATCAATATATACCTGGTAGAGCAGAAAAACTAAAACCAAACCGATAAACAACAAACATGAAATAGAACAGATTGGAGTATATGTAGTTCAATTCATGTACTTAAGCCTCAGCTTCTTTCTGTGAAATCAGGGTAATAATACCTCATTTGCAGGTTTGCTGGGAAGATTAAGTGGGATGATGACTAGGCGCCGCTCAACATCATGCCTGGCGGGCGGCCGCTGTTCTGAGAAAGGTCTCCTCTCCCCCACCCCCAGTCCCATCTCCCCTCAGACGAGTGCCATCAAGCATACTAAGGAAGCTCATATTGGTCCACCCATCTGATCCACTCCAGAGAACCAAACTCCGATTCCGAGTCTGGCTCCTGGTTTTAAATCCATTTGTGAAAATGTACCTATCATAGGTTCTTCCAGAGTGTTAACGGTGGAGGTGGAGTGATCATGGTTCATTTGTGCACCATGAGCTTTGATTCTTTGGAAGCCACCGTGTGACCCGGGAGGTCTGGTGAGCTGCTGTTTTTGCACCGTGTGGTGGGGGAGCTACGTGATAATTGGCTGCAAACCACAGCAAAAGCACCAAGAGTCAGGGAATGCTGTAGACAGGGTGGGTCTTCGGCCAAGCTACAGTTGATAACCGCTGGTGTTGCCAGAATGTCATCGATGGAGGGTCAGACTTTCATTTCAATCATTGCTGGATTGGAAAAAAAAAAAATAAAAACAGCCAACAACCAAGCAGTCATTTGCATGCCAGCTGCCAGCAACCAGTTCCTGAATAGCACTGTTCTGTTCTAGGCCCTTACACAGGTCTCGTTCAGTACTAACATCCAAAAACAACTGTGGTAGTGAATGACCAGGGCTATGCTCAGGTCTCACGATGGTGCTTTCTGGACACTGGGTAGCTGAGTGTCTAGGGAGCCAGATCCCACAGAAGCCCTGGAGAAGGGGGCAAGTTGGGCCAGCGGAGGAGCAAGGACAATTACACAACACAGCTCCCAGAGTTAACGCATATCTGTGTCTAATCTGTTTGCCCCTCCCCACTCCACCTACACAGATGTGCCCTTTAAATATTTATTTGCCCACCTTTGCCGTGTGTGGTAGACTTTGTCTCAAAAGTCAGCTTGATCCCTTTGAAGGTGTTTACTAATTAGATCAGGCTGGGAAATTAGGCAACTGCAGATAAATTGATCCTGTGTAAGGTAGTTCCTGGGCAGGAGACCCCTAGACAGCCTCAGGGAGGTCAGCTGCAGCTCCCAGTGTCCTCTGTTTATTGGAGGAAGTCCTAATGATCGCCCAACTAAGCTGAATGGCACAGCCCCTGTTTCTGCTATTAGCCCCTGACGTAAGTCTAAGGCCCACGTCAGAGGGGCTGGAGCCAAAAGGCTAAATGCTCTTAGCAAGCACGATTATGGATCAGTTGCGTGCTGGGCTCACTTTGACATAATCCACATGAAATTCTCGCTCCATGACACAGCATCTGGGCCGGAGGTATTGACTCGAATCGGAGCTTGGCTTGAAAGGGATATTGCTGCAGCAGTAATTCCAGTTCAATAGACCTGCAGGTCACTGCCCTCAAATATTTAAAAATAATATTTGCTTCAGGAGAATCTGGGCACGTGCATTAAGTGTATGCGCGTAGGCATGCGTGTGCATGTTTGGGTGTATAGATCCAGCTGAAAGAGCTTCTAGAAGAGGCGAAGCATAAAGTGAGGAGGAAAACTTTATTATACTGGGTCTGAAGGCAGCCTCAGTCCATGGTCAGGCTCATCGGATCCCCTTCAGCCACCTTGGCCATTGTCACTGTTCTGATAGGCAAGGAAGAGAGAGACAGCTAATGAGGGCTACAGGGATTGTCTGTCTTAGGTCTCAGAGGATCCCCTTAGAGACTTTTGCTTCAAGGGTCTTTGCTTGTTCCAAAGGTAAGGCCAAGTGCTCCCCATTTCATGGAGCCCCCTGGGAGAGCCTGAGAGCATGTTGGGGGTGATGCCTGCCAGCCTGTGACCAAGCTGTAGGTGTCCGTGGGCTTTGCCTAGCACAGCAACCCTCTCCCCAACAGAGCCAAGAGCACTCTTCCCTGTTTCTGTGAACCCTGGTTCACATGTCAGCCATGCTCCATAATTAAGACTGTTCATATGTTTACCACAGGACTGGGAGTACCTTAGCCTTGTAACCCAGTACCACGATTTAGGCCTGGGTCCACAACGTGTATCAAATGACCAAAAAACACATCTCACAGGGAGATCTGAGTTTCTTCTTGATATGACTAAAGAATGCAGCCTCTCTCAATAAAGTGGAGAACAAGTCGACCAAAGTTAGCATCGGACGAAGAGCCTGGGGGTGGCAGGGTGTCAAAAGACAAGCCAGCCATGTCAGCATCCGTCTGTCCCTGGGAGATTTGACTTTCCATCTGGGGAGGACGGCTTTCTTTTTAATCCTTCTGCCACTGTCACGCTGGCCTCCAGTGTTAATTGCTTCCCGATTTAACATTTTGGCCCTACCATGGATAAGCCCCCTTCCTGTGTTTCCGTCATTTGGGAGTAGATCTTACAGTTAGAACTTCTAGGGTCAAACCACCTGAATCTGAGTCCCATCCCCCCACGAACAAGCTGTGTGACCTCGGGAGGGCTACTCATCTCTCTGTGGCTCCTCGTTGGCTTCCTTAACAGTGAAGTGGGAGCGAATCAGTACTTTTGGAGGTTGTCGTAAAGAATTAATGAGAGTCGAGGCAGAGGCCTGAAGAGTGTCTGGCTTAGCATAAATGCTCAGGATTGTTAGTTCTTTCTTCTTGCAACACGAAAATGCTCCTTTCCATCTCACGCAGATGTGGGGAAGGAGGGGGATTGGAAATAATGGATATTAAGTACCTGGCCCCCAAATGGTGGTTATTGCTATCATTATTATTGGCTCCCCAGAACAGATCAAAATGTAGAAAAGATTTTACAACTTCTTAAGGGATTGCGCAAAGAAAATGACCCAGGATTCAGCTTTGACCTTGACATCTCCTCCCTTGACTAGTTCACTCTGAAGGATTACGGATTTTATAGACTTTCAAGGAGATTACCAGGGAACAAAAGATCCAGGAAGGAAATCTCTTTTTTTTAATGCTTAATTGCTAAGATATACACCCTTATTCCTGAGGGACTGACCACAGCAGGGATTTTCTACTTTGGAAAAGACCTTCTCCCTTATCCTCAGGGCTTCACCTTTGTCTAACTTTATTTTTTAATTTGTAAAAAAATTTTAGAGATTTTATTTATTTATTTGACACAGAGAGAGAGCACGCGCACAAGCAGGGGGAGCGGCGGGCAGGGGGAGAAGCAGAGTCCCAGCTGAGCAGGGAGCCCAATGTGGGGCTCGATCCCAGGACCCTGAGATCATGACCTGAGCCAAAAGCAGATGTTTAACCAACTGAGCCACCCAGGAGCCACTGCCTAACTTTAGAAATGCCAAATTTTAAGGCAATACCACCACCATAGTAGTGATTATACACCAAGCCATCCCCATACCACCATGCCACAGGCTTTTATTATATTTATAATATATATATTTGTGAATATATGACCATATTAATATATTCTATTCTTTTAATGTTCTATTTTTCAACAAAAATGTAATACTACTTCCAACTACTGTCTTTTGATCTTCTTTTCTTTACTTAATAATATATCATAAATTTCCTGCCAGATCAATAAAATGATTTTTATATGATTTTGAATGATTCTGCCATAATGATCTTAACAAAACCCCTGTTTGTAGACACATAAATTGTTTCTAATGTTTCCTCATTATAAACAACATGTGATGACCATCCTTATACTTTTACAGTTTTATACCTAAATGTGGGCCTAGAATAAATCACTTGTGGTGGCATCTCTGGTTTAAAAGGCATGCACTTTTTGAGGCATTTGATAAATTCTGCCCAGTTGTCCCTTAAAAGGCTTTACCAAGTTGTTCCCAAAATAATCGATGACAATGTTTTCCAACTTCTTTTTTAAACTTCTTGGCATGTGTAAGAAAGGATAATTTAGGGATGCATAAGCAAGGGCAGAGGGCAAAGAGAAGAATATGCTGGAAGCCAACCTCCCTGGGGGCTTGAGCTACCCACAGGGCTGAAGGGAACAATGTCCCTGCATGATCTTCACCCCTTCACCCACATGTGCTGGTGAGCTGCTCCATAATATGGTCCATATATTATAGCTCCATAATATAGCTCCTGTCTATAGGGGTTTTCATACATCCCAGTAACCCTGGATTCTGGTTTCCGAAAGAAGCCATTTTTCTTAGGGAGCAAGGCTAGACGGTGGTGTTGGCAGGGGACCGGAGAAAAGGCAGAAAGTGGCCCAGGTGAAGAGGTATCACCCTGTGAGCCTTCAGTGGGGTGTCATCGGCTGTTGTGGCTTAAAACTCAAACACATTTTTCAGGTGACAATCTCTAAGAAGTCGCTAGTTACGTTGGAGGCTAACTCTGGATCATTCCTCCTTTGTCAGCGGAACTCAGTGAGTCTGAATGAATCATAATGAAGAAACATAACTTGTTGGGGCTTCCCAAGACACAGAAAGGAATCTGGCCAACCTTTCTGTTGAAGCTTTATGAGAGAGGTGAGCACAACTGCTGATCTTTATGAAGGCAACTGTGGCTCAGAGCCTTTGTGCTCCACTGTGCCTTGTAAAGCTTTTATGGTATCTCTGTCATCCCCTTGGTAGGTCCCGTGTCATGAAGAAGGATGCTGAGCATGAGGAATATGCCATCTATGACTTCTTCCAGGTTTCTGATCCTTCCAGGGAGGGGATCTTAGCACTTTCTGGCTCTTGTCAAGAAACCAAATTGCTGAAACCAAGCAACTTGTTCCCAGCGGTAAGATCTTGTTTGGTCAGAAGGGTATAGCTTTATGTAATTCTGGGGCTTACTGGCTTGGGGGAGAGCTCCCTGGCATCTGATGGAATTTATAACTGATGATGCAGGGAGCGAAATGGGGAAGGCAGGCATTTACTGACCTAACACAGACTTGTTAAAAAATGCCAAGTACATATATGCTGTCTCTCTGCATTAAAAAGAAAATATATACTGTCAGGAGAGAAAATGGATTATGATTCACTGCTCATCCTTTTAGGTAAACATATGAGTGTTCATACGGCAAAGAGAAAAGTTGAGCATAGGTTCATGCAGCCTCACCACGTATTTCCCCAGCCACCTACCAGTGGGACTTCTTAGGTTTATATTTTTCTCTATATTTTTCTTTCTGTTTTCTCCTTTCTCCTTCTGCCATATGGGATCATAGAAAACAACAACAAACAAAAAGCTAACAGGATTTGTATTCAGATTACTTGGAGTCAAGTCGCTGTGAGATACTGGGCTTCTCTGAGCCTCACTTTTCCCATCTGCAAAATGGACATAACAAGACCTGCTGTTCTGTGTTTGTTCATTCACCACAGGTAAGTTGAGTATCAATTAACTGTTAGCAGAAAGATGAAACATTGGCTCCAAAACTTAACATGTATGAGTTTTTATATTTTTGCTTTCTGTTTTAAAAATTTCTGTCCTTTTTCTCTCTCGACTTAATCTCTGGGCTTCCAGAGACACGCACAAGCATCTTTGACTCCACTGGTAGATTTATGGAGTCTTGAATTTGGAGGTTAGTAGATTGTATCCCTCTGTTCTTGGTGCAAACTACCAATCAGAAAATAGTGCTGGAATTAGAATAATCTTCTTTTCCTTTTATGATGTCTTTTTAATTGTCTCTAAGCTTTCTGTGGCTTTTCTATTTCTATCTGTATCATCCAGACTGCTAATGGGAGAGGCTCCTAATCGGAGTCCTTGATTTGTTCTCTCTTCTTGCCAGCCCATCCTATACATAGTATCCAGTCATTCACTCACTTAGCAAACATGTATCAAATATCTGTTAGCTTCCAAGAACTATAGTGGGTGCTGGACATATTTCTAACTAGTTCAAATACCTCCCTCAGATTCCCATTGCTTTCAATGTAAATATCAAGCCCCTTAAGCTAGAAATTCAAAATACCTGCATATATCTGTTTCAAACTGCTTTTTTTTTTTAAAGAATTTATTTATTTATTTGACAGAGAAAGACAGAGTGAAAGAGGGAACACAAGCAGGGGGAGTGGGAGAGGGAGAAACAGGCCTCCCGCTGAGCAGGGAGCCCGATGCGGGGCTCGATCCCAGGATCCTGGGATCACGACCTGAGCCGAAGGCAGACGCTTAAAGTCTGGGCCTCCCAGGCACCCCTCAACCTGCTTTTTAATTTTCTCTCTCACTACATTATCAACTCTCCACTCCAGGCTGGGCTAATCTCGCTGTCTCTCTGCCTTTGCAGATGTCATTCCCCCTTCTAAGTATATACTGTCTTGTCTCTATTTTATTTGTCCAAACCTAATGTTCAGTGGTGAGCTAACAAAAGTTAATTCTTTTGTGAAATTCTTCTGACTATCCCTCCTTGGGACCCTTGTCACTTAATATCTGAGGCCATGTAATTCAAATTGCTGCATAGCTTTTCAAGCATATAGGAAAACAGTAAGATTTCAAGGTTACTTGTTCTTGCATCCTCCATAGGACCTAACATCACAGTGTTCTGCTCAACAAACACTTGCCTGTTAGTTGTTTGAGCCATAGGATAAAATGTAAAAACTGGAAATAATGTACTGTTAGAATTATCCTAGTAGCTGATTGCTTCCCTCTCATTTGGGGGGATGACTTCAGATGCCAGCTTGGTTCAAACCCTTATCAACAGTGTCCTCTCCAACCTGGTTACCATCGATTCTTCATCCTTCTTCCATCAAAGTCCTCTTGCTATGGAAATGCAGGGTTACCTGGTCTTGCCAGGAGATCATAGTATCTGGTGGTAGAAAGAGCTGCTGCTTTGCTTAGATATCTAGATCTGAGTTATAATTCTAACTGCAAGCTGAGCAACACCGGAAAAGTTATCTTGCCTCTCTGAGCCTCAGGTCCCTTTTCTGTGAAATAGAATACATAAAACCCCTTGCAGGGGCAGTTGTGAAAATTAAATGTGATGATATATGTATGTGGCACTCATTATCTTGCTCAATTCATACTAGGTGCTTATTAAATTATAGATGTGATTGATATTTACTATAGATGCTAGAGTGGTCCACATCTTCTTTGCCAGAACCACTGGATTTATAAGGCTGCATCCAATCCCGTGTGTGGTGGGCTCTCATAGACTTTCACTTTGGGGGCTGGCTATATGCAACGTCCTCCATTTGCTGGTACAGACTCTTGTTTTGGAGTCTTGAAGAGTAGTGGCCTCCACCTACCACAGATGTCAGAGAGTTTAGGCTCACCCCACATCCCTAGGCTGTCAGAGCTGAGCAAATATCCAGCGCTTGGCGCACTGGATTCTTCTGCCACCTTGAGTCTCAGATTTGGGATCCTGGCTGTACGACTTTTGCTTCTGGGATTTTGAAGTCTGAGTGTATGTCCAAAGCTAAACAGTCACTTAGAATTCATTCATAACTAAGGCAGCTCTGATGGTGGCATTCGGCTGCATTCTTCCTTCTTCCTACAAGATCATGGTTGAGCTTGCTCCTCCTTAATCATCCAGACCGCTATGGTTCTTGTTCTCTAAGTGTCCTGTTGCTGTGAGCCTTGTAAGCTTGCAGTAAATCACTACCTGACCCTCCTCACCCCCAGTTTTTCTCCATATGTAACTCGAAACCAAGAACTGAGAATGACATTCTGTGCACCTCAGGCACTTCATTCAGTGACCAAGACTCCATGGTGCGCTAACCTGGTCTTCGATCCCATCCCCACAATGGCTGGGTGGGCTCTTCTGCTGCCTTCAACTTGGTAGCTTGGCTTCCATTATCTATTTTGTGAACCCTGAAAACAGAAAGAATGTTGAGCTGCCCTCTAGCTCAGCCACTGGCTTTCAAATCCACCCCTGCCTTCTGTCTTCACAGGGTGACACCTCTCACCTTGAATTGTTACCATGTTTCAGTTTTTTACTCCTGCCTAAGAAGGCGTGCTCAGCCAGTGAAACTCGGCATCCTTTCTTTCAACACTGGAACTTGTTTTCAGAAGACATGGGTTCTCATCCCACCTTTGCTGTTGATAATCTTTATGTAAGCCAGTTCACCTCTTTGTCCTTCAGTCTTCTTACCTATAAACTGGGGTAAGTAGCAGCTGCAGGGACAGTGTGAGGCAGAAATAAAATGATTGTCATGCTGGGATCTTTGTAAAGTGAGACTGAGGTGGTGATAATCACCACATGGTGCTGTGAATATTTTTCACGATAGCAGTGATAATAGAATCAATAGCGAGAATATGAGGAAGGATTGGGTGGCTTTGGGGGTTTGGTTATTAGCGGCTGGTAACTGTGCATTGATTGGCACTGGGGGGTTGGGGGGGTTACCGTTTTTCTTAATCAAGTAGTGACCTCTTCTGGAGAACGAAAGAGGCAAGCAGAGCCTCAGCACTAGGGGACCCTTACACATCTGCACCAAGGCAAGCAACGATAGAGTGGATGGTCCCCAGGGGAGAAACTCTCAGGGTAGATGTTTGCCCTGAGCAACCAAATGGAAAACAAAAACAAATGAACTGAAACTGAAAATCATTTGCTCAGGAGCCCTCCCTGAGAGAGCTATCATAGACAGAGCTGCTGAAACTTTGGGGACCCAGTCTATGCCTTGTGGTGAGGCCCCTGCAAGCTACCCAGATCCAGGGATCCAAGACCAGCCTTTAGGGAGAATGGATCAAAAAAGGTCCAGATGGGAAATGTATTTTTGTGTATCCTTAACTGGAAGAGAAAAGAAAGACTACTTCAGATGCATAAAGCAAGGTGAAAAGTGGCTTTTGCTCAGTGATCCCTCTTTGGGGGCAGGAAAGGGGCAAGCTCTTCTTATAATCTTGTCAATTGGACTAGGGGTAAGAAAAACCAGAGAATGTTTTTTTATTGTTGTTGTTGTTTTTCTCCACTAAACATCACCATATTCATCTGTTACTTCAGACTCTTGGAAGGAGAAAGAACCTCCAGTAAGCCTTCTTGGTGACTCTAGCTACCACTGCATTCTTCTTTTCTGTGCATGTCCAAAACTTAAGCTGGGCTAGATCGTGGAGCATTTGATCAGACCTGGTCTCTGTTGGGCTGTCCTGTATCACACATTCCAGAGGATACAGGCCTGGTTTCCACTTAGATTCATGGGCAGCAAGGTGCAGTTTGATGGGAATCCTATTATCCTACCCCTGGTTGAATGAGATCAGAAGAACTGGACTCAGAGAGGGGAAGGGCCTTACCCAAGTTGAGAGATAGAAGGGCGGGGCTCTAGATTAGAACTGGGTCCTCCAACCAGTTAGCAGTCATGCCCCTCCCACCTCCCTCCAGCAGCCTTCTGCATACTAATCAACTAGTGTCTGCGTACTGGGTTGGTTAATAGTATGTTAGCTACAATTTGCTAAGCAACTCCTGCATGATAGTCCTGTTCATTCATTTATTTAGCAAAGATTTATTGACTCCAATGTGCCAGACGCTGGAGATACAGTAGTAAGGAAAAAATTGTAAGCTCAGCCATTGGCAGTGATCTCATCAACAGATAAAATGAAAACTGCGATCTCTGAAGGCTGGGGATCAGATGCTGTAGGAAGCTGCAGTGATAGGATGGAGCTCTTAGTCCAGGGAGAGCTTCTTAAGGAAGTGGCCATTCTACTCATCTAATAGCTCAGGCCTAACAGCTTTGAGCCATCCTGGCCTCCTCTTATTTGCTTACACCCTACATCCTCTCCACCAACAAATCTGGTTGGCTCTGCATCTGAAATATGTCCAGAATCTACCCATGACTCACCACCTTGGTGCCGTCCCTCTTTGTCGAAACATGCCTAGTCTCTTGTGTGTATTGCTGGGACATGATCTCCTGGCTTCCACTCTGGCCTCCCCAGAGTCAAATACGTTCAGACAATTCTGGGTCATAAATATGTCTAAGTCTTGTACAGCAGAACTTCTCAGAGGTTTTCATGTTCTAATCAATATACTAGATCTCCAAGAATAGAATATAGTATATAGCTTATCGCAGACCTACTTGACCACAGAATTTTTTTCTTATAGTGTTTCATGCGACTACTGCTCTATAGAATGCTCTCTGGATAACCCAGAAAATGTCTGTGAAACTCTATCACATAAAGTATTATTATTATCCCACATGATGAGCCGATGGGGGACAGAGCCACCCACAACAGCTTTGCTGAACTGGGAGTCAGGTCGAGTTTTAGCCCCAGTGAGCTGCTTCCGAGCTGTGTGGCTTTGGGCAACTTATTTCATCTTTCTGAGCCTGGTTTCCTCATCTGCAACATGCAGATAATAGTTCCTGTCCTGTCCACTTTGCCAGGCCATTGAGAGAATCCAATGAGATAATGGACGTCAAAGAAGGGGCGTCCCCTTCCCCCACTAAACCAAACTAAACCAAAACCCATTGCCACCACTGTGCTCCCGGGGACGCCTAGACAAACAGTATTTCAGGTTCCACCATCTCTGCACTTAATTGTAATCAAAGAGCAACAAATTAACATTTGGTTTATTTATTTGAGCAACTGGGAGTAAAACCCAAGGAGTTGCTGGCCGTTGGCTAGAAATCAAACAAAACAAAGAATTAATTGGAGCTAAGGCTGTGGAGAGTGCTAATCTGTTCCAGGCATGGGAACAGGCAAAAAAAAGCCAGGTGCCCGGACAGCATAGATGGAGAATGTAAAGAGCAGGGATTGTGTGGAAAGGTTCGGGAGGTAAGAGAGTCTGTAGCGAGAAGGCTAGGAAACTGTAGCTGAAGGTTTTATTATCCTCTCAGCTCCTGGTGTGGGCATGGTGCTCCGTGCATAGTCACTGAATGCCGCTGGCTGTGATAATTCAGTGAGGGTCAGTGGGGCAGTGTGGGGCAGTGTGGAAACTCTAAACTGGCAAAGTTTTGGGTCTTTGTAAGATGTACCTGGTTCAGAGTACCTGGCTCAGACCGGGTCAGCAAGTTCTGCTGATGCCCCCTTCCCAACCCAAACACTTCCAGGTTTTTTTTTTTCCTCTAGGGCTTTGCCTGTGACTGACCAGGTGACCTGGGGCTCCCGTCTCTGATCCCCTGGAGTAACTCACACTCTACAAATACAACTTGTGTTTGTGGCCCAAGCCTCTGAAGATGATGATGGTATTAATAATGGTAATAAAAAATAGAACATCCGTATGGATACCTAGAAAGCCACTCCTATCCAACCCCTTCAAGGGGGTTGTATGAATAAATAAATGGCCAGTGGGTGTTCTTTCATTTTTGTCACATGCCCACTTATCAGGAAGTTTAAATCCAAAGTGCTTTCTCCACCTACCCCCAAACCTTAAGATTGAGGCAACAGTGCCCCAGGCAAGAACTCAATAGAATGAAAAAGGTTTCTGTTTGCACAAAATTGTTTACCAGGATTACTAAGCAAACAGGAGGAATGGAACAAAATGATAAAAACAATCTTTGGTGCTTTCCTGTGGGATTTACTGAGGTCTTTCAAAGTATGTCCAGTGATGGGTGAAATTGACTTCTTGGAGGAAAGAGAAGAAGAAGGAAAATGAACATTATCATGAATCTTGTCTCTTGAGGGGTTTAGGGCTGTAGCTGACCATGACTGTTCCTAGCCTTTGCTGAACATTACTTTTTTTTGGGATGACCTGTAGTTGGGTACATAGGCCAGTGGTGTTCCCCAGAAACACGGATAAGCTGAGGCCAGGGAAAGCTGATTGAGTGGAGTGTCCTGGCCTTTCCCAGAAATGAGGGACCACTAAGTAAACTTCCAGATGGCAGTATAACCAGGTGGGCAGGGAGCGTGGGCTGAATTGTTGGGAGCAGTAGGGACACAAATATTCAGGTAGCTGCTGGGTTTCTCACAACTAGGAGAATCATAGCTTACAAAACAAACTGGCAGCTCACTCAGTTTGAGGTAAGCATTATTGTCCCCACTGAACAGATGAGGAAACTGAGTCTGAGATTACATTGAACTTGTCTAAGATTACCCAGGCAAAACCTGGTAGGGCCTAGATCCAAATTCTGAGCTTATTTATTTATTTGAGAGAGAGAGAGAGAGAGAGAGAGAGAGAGTGCACAAGCAGGGGGAGGGGCAGGCAGAGCGAGAAACAGACTCCCTGCTGAGCAGGGAGCCCGGACACAGGGCTCAATCCCAGGACCCTGGGATCATGACCTGGGCTGAAGGCAGACGCTGAACTGACTGAGCCACCCAGGCGCCCAGAAATTCTGAGCTTTTGATGCCATGTCCTGAGTTTTTTTCCCTATAGCAAGAATCTGAGAAGTCTGACCTTTTCCCAGCCACCAGCCTAGGGATTCGACATGTTTGGCTCATTGTCGTTATCTAATTACTGTTTTGCTCTGAAGCTTACCTTCATTTCTGGGCAACTCCCAGAATAGAGACACATTCAATAGTGACAATAGATGTTGTTTCTGGGGGTTGAGGGATGTAGCAAAGTGAGGAGATACAGGTTAAATGACCCCAAGGGCTTTAGAACCCCTTGAACTTTAAGAACTTACAAACAGAGCACTTACTAAATGTCAGGCAGAATGCTGAAGACTCTCAGCAGGAGCTCACCCTTCCTTGCACTAACCTTATGAGGCACACATCATTGTCATGTCCATATACAGATGAAGAGACTGAGGCTCACAGAAATTGACTTGTCCAAGATTGCACAGCCAGAAAGCAGAAGAGCTGGGAATTGACAAGAGGTAGTCTGAGCACTTAATCCTGCCTCTGTAAATACTTGTCAAATATTAAGATGATACCAGTGGTTCTCAAAGTGGTCCTAAAATCAGCATTGATATCAACCAGCAGTGTGTTAGGGAAACTGAATCAGAAACTCTGGATGTGGGGCCCTGCCCTCTGGGTGGTAGCAGCCTTCTGTGTATCCTGGTGCACACTCATGTCTGAGGACAGCTGGACTAAGCTGTACTGCTGTGCTCTAAGGGAGAAAGGACTTACACAGAGCACTGTGGCCACCAGATGAGCCTGGTCGTGGGAAGATGGCTTTCCAGAACGTGCTGTTGTTTTGGTTTGTGGAGCATACCTGGGGGAGTAGAGAAGAAGCAGAATCTCTCCAGAGAGAGGATTTGATGGGAAGAGAAGGTGGGAAGGGGTGACATCACAGCCACTTTCCAAGAATACAGTGTGTTTGTAGGACACGTATCATTTATCCAGAAGGCTCACTGAAGTCAGGTGACTTGGCCAAGGCCAGGTAACTAGTGACAGATGTTGGACTCAAAGCCAAGTCCCTGACTCCTTCTGGAGTATGCTGCAGCTGCATCTCCCCCAGAGCATGCTGAGTCATAGATGTTCAGAGATTCCCTCTGAATTATGAGAAACTCTTCTTGGTAATGGCGACAACCTTCTGACAAAGATAAGGGAGGATAAAAAGTACAGCAGGCTGTTGGTACCAGGAAGGAGGAAATATGAAGGGAGGGCTTCAGAAAGGGACAGAGAGGAGACAGGGAGATGTCGTGTTCTGGAACCCCCCCGACTGTCTCCTCATCTTGGTCATCACTGTCACCATTTACTGGACTGTAAATGCTCTAGAGTGGTACCAGACATAGAGTGCAGCACACCTGAACTTGAGGTTGATTCCTGGCTTTGCCAGTGACCCTACACAGTTTATTTAACCTCTCAGAGATTGGATCCTCATCTCCAAAATGAGGATCTTTACATTTCCGGCCTCACAGGATTTGAGGGAAGTTTCAAGGGAGTTAACGTATGCAAAACCCTTAGCAGATTGCCTGGCTTGTGTAGGAAGTGCTCAATAAATGTTAACCAGAGTTGGGAGTGTGGGAATAATTCCCCATTAAGTTACTTTCTAGGGATGATGGTTAATGCCAGGATGATATGCAAGTTTGGGCCAGAGCGGAATTGTTTGAGTGGACATAGGGGAGGCTAAGGCTGCTTCTCTGATTTTCCTGGACATAATGGATTATGAAATAAATAATTTCTTTTTGAAACATCCTGAGTGATTTCCCTGTGCAGGGTACTCCCACCCCTCAGTGCAGCCCCGACCCCACTTAGAATGGCACTCAGGCCCTCAGGCCCTCTCTTCTTTTTTTCACCCCTTCCCCTCCTTCCTCTGGTTCCCTGGACATTGCTCTGCAGGCTCCCACTCCAATCTTCAGCTGCAGCTCATTTTCTGCTAGTAAGAACACCCGTAGCCTAGACCAGAACAACGGAGTGAGGGCAAAAACAGCAGTGGATCCTGAGAGGTATGGCAGAGGGCTGGGACCCAGACCATCTCTAGCATTTAGAGGAGGTTGGAATTTGTAATCTCTCAATTTGCCTCTGCCCATGTGACCAAGATACTTGAGCATATTCATAACAATAGTGAAAAGCTAACATTTGTTTGAGCATTTCACTATATGCCAGGCACCCATCTCAGAGCTTTATGTGTATTTACTCAAATAATTCTCAGAATAGCCCTACAATAGAACTACTTTTATAATCCCCATTTACACATGAGAAAATGCAGGCACGGAGAGGTTGGGTAACTTGTCCAGCGTCACACAGCTGGCAAGCAGGATTTAAACGCAAGCATTCTGATGACAGAATTTCCCCTCTTAACCACTATGGGAGGGGACAGCAGGTGTTGGTAAGAGTAGAAAGAGGTCTTGTTTCTAATATATATTTCATCGAAATTGTATAATGATGAATGTTGTTATTAACATAGTTCTTAGAGAAGAGCATAGAGCAAAGGTGGTCTATGAGGATTTCCAAGGGCTTGGAGTTGTTTTGGGATCACCTGTGGTGTAAGGGCCAAGTGAGGTCTGGAGAAAAACACACTGGGAATTGGGATCTTGTCAACACTTCCCACCCCCACACCTCTGCTATCAGCAGAAAATGAAAATGCACATCTCGAGATGCCTGGAAAGGAACAGAAATCACCCAGATGGGACATACAGAAGGTGGGGTGTGTGTTAAGGCCAAAAAGGGGTTGCCCCTCTTACACAGAGCATGGAGAGAGTTGGCGAATGCCTTCATGTTAGCTTTGGGTATTTCTTTTTTTTTTTTTTTAAAGATTTTATTTATTTATTTGAGAGAGAGAGAATGAGAGAGAGCACATGAGAGGGGGGAGGGTCAGAGGGAGAAGCAGACTCCCCGCCGAGCAGGGAGCCCGATGCGGGACTCGATCTGGGGACTCCAGGATCATGACCTGAGCCGAAGGCAGTCGCTTAACCAACTGAGCCACCCAGGCGCCCTAGCTTTGGGTATTTCTTAACATCAGCTAATAGAGCCAATTCTCTTATACTGCCATCTTTCACACTCCACCTCAATACACACTTGTGTATCCCGGAGTCTCTGCCAGATATCTGTCCCTGAAAAAAAGAAGCTCCCTTAAGAGCCTAGAGCAGGGCCTCAGTGTTTTATATTTCCATAATTTTATTGTAAAAGAATCACAGAGAGTATATCTATCAGTTTTGCTGCATAACCCAGATCTCAGTGGCTTATAATAATGAAAATTTATTTTCCATTTATGTCACAGGATGCCTACAGCTCAGCAATTGCTGTGCTTCAGGCTGTAGGTTGCTTAAGGGTCAGTTCCATAGGTCTTCTTGGTCTGTGATTGCATGAGAAGGAGCAGGCCCTATGCACAGAATGCTGTTCTAACACAAAGCAGGAGTGCAAGAGACCAACTTCAGGTATGCAGTCACCTTAGACTTTTGCAGGGATGTGGTTCACAGTCCACTGGCCAAAACAATTTCAGTGAGCCAAATCTGACAATAGAATAGGAAAATTTACTGGTAGGGACTGTGGCAAGGGTGTGGAAGCATAATCCTTCTACAGGAGACTGATCTGTAATGCAAATTATCACAGGGATTTTTTTTTTTTTAACCATGCAATTCAAGGGCCCTTCTCCAGCTATTTTAATTCAATAGGTCAGAGTAAGTAGTAACAACAGTAATAATAATAAAGATAGTGGCCAATATTATTTTTTGCCTTTTATGAACCAAACACTGTGTTAAGTGCTTACACGTATGATGCTGTTTAATCCTACAACTACTCTGTGAGATGGGGACAATTATCATCTTCCTTTTATAGATGAAGAAATAGAAGCTCAGAGACATTCAGAAACTTCCCAAGGTTAAATAGCTAGTAAATAGTGGAGCAGGGTTATGGACCTGTGGAATGTAACT